GACATACAACTCTTTCCCCACATGCTGGGCTCATGCATACCTAATTTTTTCTTTATTTCTGTAAAACCATAAACACATTTTAGAGCAGTGGTGTTTTAATTTGCACATGACTAACTCTACATCCATCTTGTGATTAATGATACAGCTGTTTAGAAAGCCCTCTTCCTCTTTTCATTAAAGCTATTTTTGACATCCCCATAGTTAGGTTATTAAGAGAATATGGCATCCCATGTAAGTCCAGCATAAAAGTGCTGAGCAAGAAGACTGAGGTTTGGAAATGATGGATAGAGGGACTGAAATTTTATAGAGCATGCATAGAATGTAGCATTGAGTACTTCAGCAGATGTCTTCCTGAGTGTTTTTCCTTCAATACTTATTTTTGTAACACAAGGAGATAAAGAATATCATTGCTTTCCCTTCCACATTCTGCCTTTTGTTAGTGTTTTGGTTCCAGGGGGTGGATACTTGCTTTATCCTACAAAGATACGAGTTGTTGCAATGCCATGGTTTCTAGAGAACCTGGATAAGATGTCAGAACCCTATTATGGCTCTTCTTTCTTTTAAGATAAAGTCTTCTTCAAGTTGAGATTGATCCTTGGCAAACTTTTGGCAATAATACCAAAGTATTATTATTTTTTCCAACTGCCTTGGAAAAACTGCAGGCTTTCTTTGCATTACGATCAAAGTATGTAAAAACTGAGATACAAGGGAGAAATGGAGAAAAACAAACCTCACAGACTTCTAATATGGCCAGTTTTGAGTCACAGAAGGAAAAGTAGTGTCTCACCCACTATTAGGAGGACTTGCAGAAGCACTGTTTCTCTTTAAGATTTCCCACTACTTGTCCATTTCTTGGGCTCTGTTGTCCAGATTTTATTTATGGATTGCATTCATACCCTGCCAAAATCCAAATTACCTCTCAGCCATCAATCATGAACATCTTCAGTTTTTCCATCAGAATTCTAGAGTTGGATGAGTCATTGAAACCAACTCAGAAATCACACATCTGAATTAATGCCTCTCCAACAGTCTCTCGAGGTCAGGGGTCTTCAAACTTGGCCCTTTTATGACTGAGCACGCTGGCTGAGGAATTCTGTGAGTTGAAGTCAACAAGTCATAAAAGGGCCAAGTTTGAAGACCCCTGATCTAGCCATTATCTGAACATATCCACTGAGGGGAAGACAACAGCTTCAACTATATGCCTCCCTTCCTGGTAGGTTTTTAAAAACATTAATTTTAAATCTTATTTTATGTTATTTAAACTCACTATGCTGTATTTTACATTCAGGAATAATAGAGTACAAGTCTTAATCTACTTGACCCTTCTCCCACCAGTTTTTATCCACTCACCATATTTACAGAATAGAACATATCTTTTTCTCTCTTCTATCTTTCTATATAAAAACCTAAAATGTTTTTCTCATCATATGGAGTCTGCTGAAGGGTAAGATGAGGGGAATAACAAAATAATATTGTCAAAGCTCTTAAAAATAAAAACATTTTTAAAAAAGATGATGTGCAAAAATTCTAAACTATTTGGTCTTTGAAGCTTGTAAAAAAAAGGTGGTATGAAATATGGGACATATACTACTCAGCTGCAACCACAATGCCCTCAGATCAGTTACTGAATGACTGTACCTTAGAGGCTATTACAGACAGAAGTACTGAAACTGAAGTAAAATTAAAACTTATGTGGTGAGAAGAATTTTAGTTTCACTGGCTAAGGTTAGGGAAAGTGGATTTCACTAATACTGTCATTTGAGTAATCTGACTTTGATATCTCGAAATAAATGACTAGCACTTTGCACATGAAATACTCTATTGGAAACTTTATGGTCTGTAAAAGATGGTGACTGACTTAGAGGGAAATATATGTTATCAGGACGTAACTTCCCTTTATGAGACCTATGTATTCAGACACAAAACAAGCCAGCTCAATGACATGATTTTAAAATGTGTTATGCTGTGACATTTTATCCTTGACAATAGTAAGGGTTGGGTTTTACTATAACTTTTGGCTCCTTCTGTCTCCCCTTAAGCCTCTTCCCAATGATGAAAAATGAAATGACTCTCCTGTTAGCTGCCCCTCAATTTTGTGGAATATAAAGTAATAGTTTCTGAACTTGCATTCAAAAGGTGGCACAAATTATGTGTTAAAGTTAGTGTTATAAGTGACAGTATCTTGAGTTAGCTTTGAGCAAAAGATGTTACTTGCTCTACCAGTTAATGCTGTAAAAGACATTTATGGATCTGAATACAGGTGACCATTTAACAACCTATAGTAAGAAGTTGAGTTTGATGTGGAAAAAGCACATTTCCTCCAACTTCAAATAGACAGACTCTTAGATATTCAGACTCTTCAATCAACATTACACCCTTTTTATCTGTATTACACTCAGATTTTTTATTTGCAACATCTTCAAGCTGCTTTAAAAAGATAAATGACAGGTTATAGCACCCTTAATATGTTTTTTTTTCTTTTAAAAACAAAAAAGAAATTACAAAATCTTCAATGTGTTACCACTAAATGAAAAATGACCAGGTTTTTTAAAAGAAAATTTATTAAACTGTCACAGTACTTGCAGATGATAAAAACTCAAATGTAAAACTAAGGTTGTAATATTAAAACGTTCTGAATTTAGACGGTTGTAATATTAAAACATCTCTGAAAATAGAAATATTACATGTTGCAATTTTTTAGGTATATGTGTATGTGTAGTTATAAGGTATATATGTTATGTTGGTACATGCATGCGTTTATATTTTATACAAACACACATGCATAAAATGTATATATAGACAGTAAGACAATTTACCCATTAAGCACTTCCTAGGATATACTCAAGGGAAAAATGGAGAATTTTAAGTTTCACAGCTCCCATTCTTGGAACATTTACATTTATTTTTTATCCAACTAATAATATGAAGGATCAGTTTTTCATCTACAAGCATTATCAACTATGTTACACTCCTACCATACAGTACTATAACCAAGCTACAGTCTTCCTTTTAGTATTTTGGTGGCTTGCTGTGCTATAAAGCAGATTCAAACATATTCATTGTTTAGAAATTACTCCTGGCATCTAAGGCCTATAATTTGGGGATAAACAGGGGTACATTATTATCCAGTCTGATTATAAAAGCTTTAAAAATCCTAATTATATTAAGAGAGTTGCGATAGATGGAATCTCTATAATTCTGCAATCTGAAGAAAAACTGCTTGTACAGATCTGTTCCAAACAATGAAATTTTCACTAGAGAAAGGTTTTTGCATTTTTCATTTCATTTCTTCCCCTACCTGTTTCCTATGGAGTTGGGAACATTTTTATTTTGGAACCATGGATGACATGTCTGATAGTCCCTGTCATTTGATTAAACCTTCACACTCTAGAAAGGGTACGGAGAAGAGCAACAAAAATGATTAGGGGACTGGAGGCAAAAGCATATAAGGAATGGTTGCTGGAATTGGGTATGTCTAGTAGTTTAATGAAGAGAAGGACGAGGGGGGACATGATAGCAGTGTTCCAATATCTCAGGGGCTGCCACAAAGAAGAGGGAGTCAAGCTATTTTCCTGAAGGCAGGACAAGAAGCAACGGGTGGAAACTAAGCAAGGAGAGAAGCAACCTAGAACTAAGGAGAAACTTCCTGTCAGTTAGAACAATTAACCAATGGAACAACCTGCCTCCAGAAGTGGTGAATGCTCCAACACTGGAGGTTTTTAAGAAGAGACTGGACAGCCATTTGTCCGAAATGGTATAGGGTTTCCTGCCTGAGAAGGGGGTTGGACTAGATGACCTCCAAGGTTCCTTCCAACTTTATTATTATTATTATTATTATTATTATTATGGATCATCGCACAGTCAGCCAGATGTTCAGACTGAATTTGGCATTTTGTCTACCTATCGAGTCCTTCCCAAGGACCTGGGATAGGCAGATGCGAATGTTTGATGTTATTACAGATATCGTCGCAGGATGGAAGCAGTTCCTAGTAAGGCCGCCTTTTGCAATTGACTAATGGCGAATTTGTCAATGCCAATGGTGTTCAAGTGGTGCTCCAGTTGTTTTGGGATTGCACCCAAGGCACCTGTGACTATTGGTACTACCCTTGCTTGCTTTTGCCACAGTCTTTCTATTTCTATTTGTAGGTCTTTGTATTTTGTTATCTTCTCCAGCTCTTTCTTATTATTATTATGGATCATCGCACAGTCAGCCAGATGTTGTTGTTATTATTATTATTTTGGGGAGGGATAGAAGGCCAGCTAGATTAAGAATTTTCTCTTCATCGATGTGTGTGTGGAGGACGGAGGCTCCCACTTGAATTTTAGAACGAGATTACTTCCTCAAATGTATTAAGGATGCAACCCATTTAGGCAGTTTTTAATTTTTAAAAACACACATGAATTCATGTTTTCGAAAAGTGAAAGTCTGCCAAGTTATAGTCAAAATTGTCATCCAGTAAACTCTCAGTTACTATGCTTCTGCAAAATTCAAAATTGATTTCCTTAAAATGCCAATGACTTAAGAACTCCACTGTTGATGAAAGGAATGAACAGATAAATGGATAAACTATAAAAAGCATAGTTCTCTGAATCAACCAAATTTATAACCTAATATAGAAATGTTTATAAGGAAATATATCAGACAAGAGTTCCATCATCTAACTATGCCGTATTAAAAAAATCCATACAGTAATTTCACATATTAAAAAAACCCTAAAGGTTTAATAAAGTTTCTTCTTGTAAGCTTTGCTGTCAGAGAAAAAAAGTACTCAAGAATCTCATGAAATGACAAAATTACTCCATTTAGTTAAAGAGACAGTAACAGTACTTCAGAGATTCAATTTATTCAAAGCTAAATGCTAACTGATGAATTACATTTTAAAATGCTTTCACAGGAAGTACACAGATTATTGAGTTCCCTTCCCCTCCTCATTAGGAAAAAAACTTCTTTTTATAACCCTTTTCTTTTTAATGAAACAGGAATCAAAAGTAGGACTTACATGTAATTTTCTCAGAATCTGTGCTGGCTAATATTCTCACGAAACAGGGAAGTGGATATACGGAGAAATTAATCGATTACAGAAATCCATGAAGATATGAACACTGTAAGATTCACAGGATGATCTTCTGGCTGTTCAGCAATCTAAAATACAACATAACATCACAGTATTGAAAAAAATGAGTTTTCTCTGCCTTTACGTTCCCTGAAATAAGATCAAATTAGTATGACATATGGGTAATGCATTAAACGTACATTTTGAATCCATACTTGTAGTTTCATTAAAAAGATTACTTAGTGAACTTACATTTACAGGATATGTTAATGGTAGCAAAGCTAGTCTTTTCAATGCTCAAGATTTCCAAATTTATCTTCAATTAAAAAATATGGCTTGCCTGTTACCCATTTGTGATCTGCAAAACCTGAATCTGTAGTTTAGCAATAGCAAATTCTAAAATGCTGCTATGTACAGGCACAGAACATAGAGATAAAAACTGAGGGGGACCATAAAAAAGAATGAAATAGCCAGGTTGCCTTTTAATATCCTGCCTGAGCATCTCAAAATGATATTTGCAAGTACTGTATATGAAGACAGAGATTTTAATATACCTTGAAGTATACAGTATTTCAATAACCAGTGTCACCTCATGGAATGATGGGCAGCAAACAAATTTAATAATTAATAAAATAAAATAAACTTTAATAATACATTAGTATTAATAGCTAATAATATTTCAACATAATTCATGTAACCATTTTTTCACATCACATCACTGTTAGTCATCTAACAACTGGAAACTTCATGATGCGTTGCTATAGCATGTCTTATCCATATTATGATTTCTCCTTATTTGATGTTTACAAATGAATTATATTGTCTATTGAAAGTATTAATAGTTAAGGTGAAATTGATGCTTTCTGTTACAGCTCATTTAAGAAAAACACTGTTGTTACTTGTAGCCACAGAATCAGCAGATACATTTCCTTGAACCATGCAGCATTCAATTTTTTAGGTATAGATTAGATATAGAAATATCCTCATAAAGGACTGCTGTTAATCTATATGAGAAGAAAAGAAACTTTGGGTTCAGTTTAATATTTTAAACCCAAATAATCATATCTGAGCTGAAATTAATTGGTATTTTACAGAAAATATTTATGAACAATAACTGTCTTGTTCTCATTTTTTATCCATTCGGAAATTATTCAACTTTAATGCCATTTTTGTCAGCTGATTTCATATTTTTCTTTGCTCTCACCATGTAAGTATGCCTTACTTGCTGGATATTATCCCTCTTCACTTAGGCCACCATAATTATCCAGGTTCACTCATTAGAGGAAAAAACAGTGGTCAGGGGAGATAAAATTACACACAAATATAAAATGAGCAAAGGAATGAGCATCAGGATAGGTTCAATTTAAGGGATGAGAAAGATATGTTTGTGATAATGCAAATGCATGATGTTTATGCTTGTGTCAAATATTGTACTGTTTGCGTGATGACAACCTGATATGTGTGTGGTTATTCTGACATCACTTTGGCTTGTGGAGCAATTGAACTTAACAAAAAGAGGAAAAGATGTGATTGAGAGAAGAATAATTCCACAGCAGTAAAACCATTATGTTTGTCTAGAAAATTAATACTGGAAAATATTAAATAGAATCATTTCTACAAAAAGCACAGTTTGGTTTTGTCCTTCTTAGAATGAATGTCTGTTTAATTCACAAATAAAGTATAGGAAAAGAAGCTGGACTGGAATAGGAAAATTCTGTCATAAAGAGGAATGGGATAGGGATAATAGAAATAAAGGTCGCTTTGTAAAGAGTTCTCTCTAGCATTGCTGCTTTCATAATGGTAAAAACAATACATCTGCAAAATATTAAGTATCTTGTTAAAAAGAAAAGACAACTGAAATGTTTAGTTCGGGGCTTAAAAATGGGTTAGGAGATTTTAAGCACAGCTTAAACAGTAAAAATACAGCTTCTAAGAATTTGCAATTGTTCCAAAATATTGAAAGAATGAAAGAGGAGAGGTAAATAGGAAGCATCTAGTATGGTAGCATTGGGCTAAAACTCCCAGCCAGCACAGTGCATACAGACTATGAATTCTGGAAGTTGCAGTTCCACACATCTGGAACATATCAAGTCAAGGAAGTCTTGTCTACCACATGGTAATCATAAATGTAGTGAGCCTGCATCCTAGCTATACACTTATAGCCAAGTTCACATGAACAGACATGCTGTTTAGTAGCTTGAGGCTATTGTAATTTTTCCCTTCTACAAATCAAGCCATACATGGGGATTCTGATTGCAATGTAGTTAGAAAATGAAAATCATCATCATCATCATCATCATCTACCTTCTATTATTGTAACTGTGTTCAAGTAAGAGTAAGCCTATCACATACCTACACAGACCACCAGAAGGCACTAAAAATATCTCACAAGATGTACTGTATAGTGTATAAAAATAAATTGTCCGCTCTTCCCTCCAAGAAGGAGGGAAGTCATACAAAACCTCACACATAGGGATGGATATGTTACATCCCAGCTCTCTCTCCGAGAGCTTAAGGGAAGGTGTTCACACAATTCTGAGGTAGCAGACCTGTGGTTACCTGTTCAAAAGACTAAGATGTAAGTTATATTTATTTTATTTTATTTATACATCAAATTTAGAAACTGCCCATCTTACTCACAGTATACAATTAAATACATAAAAAAGTATCAAAAACCATATAAATATTATGGCTTATTAAAGTTATATGTTATGCAGACTCTAAATACCATGGAGAAACAGATTTCAGCTATTCTTCTCTCTGTCCTTTTTTAAAAACAGAAGACTATTTTATGAGACAAGTAATATGACAGAGGAGGTTTACATCCTGAGAACTAACTCTACAATGTTCTTGTAAGGGCTGACTGATGTTCACTGGTGTAAAAGCCTGGAATTGAACCCCAAACATTGCATTTCCTTGTTGCAAATGTTTCACTCTTTATTTCTCTCCCTGTGTCCCCTGACATCTTTGCACTGCACTGAGCAAGCCAATGCATATCAAATTTAACACATGATCAATAAAATGAAAGCTGGAATTCTCTGCTCAAGAGGTCATGCTAGGGTAAATTGTAACTTAACCAAGTCCCAAAGCATAGCTCAACAGTAGTGTGTCTTCTCTAAGCCGATTCCACGTTTCTATTTTATATAGCCATTCTGAAATATAAGAACAGCTGACAGAAATAACTTCTTTTTCATGGTAAAAATAACGTACCAACCGTGAGAATATAGTTGCAGTACTATGAGAAGTAATTTTTTTGGCTATGTGCAAACCTAGTAATATAAGTGAAAACACCTATTTATCAGGCAGGCACATGGAAAACAATTTCCTACTTCACAATTCAAGAGGAAGAGACTATGAGAGACTAATTGGTCAGCTTTCTTTGAAAATCTATGACTTCTTTAAAATTAGTAGTTCCTAGTTAGGTGCCCAACAGATATATTTTATTACAACATTCATCAATTCAAAACCTATATATCAACTGTTCCGGCTAGAGATGATGGATATTGATGGAAATTGTAGTCTAAAACAAATAATGGAAAACTACCATATGGTAACTTTGAAAAAAATATTTTAGATAGATACATTATAGGCAGGCCTCGACTTACGTCCACAATTGAGCCCAAAATTTGTGTTGCTAATTGAAATATTTGTTAAGTAAGGTTTGCCCCATTTTACAACCTTTCTTACCACAGTTGTTAAGGGAATCACTGCAGCTGTTCAGTTAGGAACACTGTTGTTAAGTAAATCTGGCCTCCGCACTGACTTTGCTTGTTAGTTTTCCTCAGAGCTTTATACAATATACAATGCTTTCATTAGTGAGTCTCCCTGGCTATCCTATTTGTAATAAAATACATATAAATTGATAATTTAAAATTTATATTTTAGGTTAAAACAGAAATATGTTGTTCTATACCCATTGGCACTTTTGTGCCAATAGACATTGCCTTGGTTCCTGCCAGTTTCCCAATTTCATCTGGTTCTCAAAAGATCACTTAGAAAACAAAATGGTTACTTAAATATATATTTATTTTATTTTATAGACATTTTCTATTTCTCCTCCTAGTACATCACCACTTACTAACGGAGTATATTTAAGTAAGTAATAGTGCATTTTAGATATTATAACTTTTATGTAGTAAAATAAAGGAAAGTTGGGTTACCCAAAATTTAAATACTATGGATATTAAAGGTTAAATTGGAATACTGTAATTAAAAATTAGGTGAAATTTAAATACAGGACATGGATAAGCATAAATATATTGATAAATGTTTTAACTGAGCTTGTTATAATTACAAATTTACTAGCTTAAATATGATATAGCAAATGTTAAGGGAAATAGAGAAGGAATTTTTTGATGATGTAACCTGAGATATGTACCAAAGATTTTGTTATTGTATTATTGACTACCCAATCACCACACTGCTTTCTAAATACTTAAATGTAAAACTGGAAAACCAATAAAAATTTGTTATATGAAAGAAAACAAAATGGTTGAATGCTAATTTTTTTACCCTAATCAATGCCCCTCTTAAGGAACTACTTAATGTCCTACTTATTTTTTTACCCTAATCAATGCCCTTCTGAAGGAACTACTTAATGTCCTACTTAATATCCACCAACAATGGCAGGGCAAGCTACTGTATATAAACAGGGAGCAAACTCCACATTCACAATTATTGATGTTACCCATTGGATAATGAAATGTCTACAAGCTTAAATGTCTACAATGAAGCTCAAAGAGCACTAAGGACTCCATCACTTTATCTACATGTAGTTAATTGTTTCCTGAGTTCCACTGAACAAGTTTAAGGATTAAAAAAATCTTTTTTTCCCACCAAGACTTTAAAGCTTTTCCCCTATAGAAATTAGGTATTAAAACTAGCCTACAGAACTAGTCCTGCAGCTCCCAAAGTTCTTCAAAACTTTAAGAACAAATTTTAGTAGGCTGTATCTGAACTAAAGCAGATGCTCATACTTAGATGAGCAGCAAAGTACAATTTATTATACAATTGCTAACTAATGATCATCTCATACCAAACATACTAATTTCGACAGTACAAAGTAAAGGAAATATTACCTATGTTCCGT